GGGGTCTCAGAGGTGGTGGGTGCTTGGGGCTGCAGGGGCCGCGGGGGGCTGGGGGGCTGTGGGGGCTGCAGCTCGAGCCCGGTGAGTAGAAGGCGGTGTGGGGCCATGTCTGTCCCCTCTGGGGGACGCAGATGCTGAGGACCCGGCCAGCCCACAACCGCGAGGGAGGGAATCCCACGGAAAGGGGCCCCAGCGATGGCGCTGGGTGACGCTGCCGACGAGCGAGAGTGGGCGAAGGTGGGCGGTGAGGGCGGGGGCGGGGGGCAGCGAACGTGCCGTCGAGGTTAGTGAAGGAAGCGAAGCTGGGGCCGGGGCGGGGAGGAGCTGCCCAGACGCCGCGGGTGACCGGGCGCTGAAACCCACACGGGCGCTGGCGCCGGTGCGTCTGACGCTGGTGAGTGATGGGCGGCTTCTGCTGTCGGGTCACTTCCTTCTAACTTCTGTCCCCTCCGAGCCACACTCATTACTTGTAGGGACACTCGGTCCCCCGGCACGTACTGCCCTCTCGGTGACCACGGCACCCACGCTTCTGACCCTGAGTGCTCACTCCCAGCACCCTGCCACGGCTGGGTGTCCTGCAATCCAGCTCAGTCCTGACACCACCTGCCCGGGGCGGGGTGACAATGACATGTGCTGAGCACTTGGGGTGCCAGGCCCTGGAGGCCAAGCCCCTGCTCGAGATCCGAAGCCAGCGGGCGGAGGGCTTAACGCGGGCGCCGTGCTGGCAAAGTCACGCTTATTACCGACTGGGCCGGAGGGTCCCATCGCGCTGCCCGAAGGCCGACTCGCCCCACACCCGTCTGCTGAAAGACAGTTAGTTCACAGGCTATTTCCTAAATGAGCAAATCACTGGCTGACCAATTTGCCGAATTTACTAAATTTATAAAATGTTTCTGTCGATTATTGATAAAATTTATAACAGTTTGGATCAGACGGATTAATAAGGCCTACGAGGACTTTGGGGAGCAAAGACTCCAGGGTTTATGGCATAAAAGCTATAAGCACAAGACATTTATACACAGTTTCATGTTTAGACGCCCTGAATTAACGTCGTAATAAAAATAATTTAAATCAGCAGTGCGGGTTGGGAATTCCTTTCTTTCAAAAGAATCTTATTTTGGGGACCGTGATATGAAGCAAATTTTAACTGAATCACCACAAGTGAGATACAAGGGGTCTTTAGCAGGCAGAACACAAACGCCAAACTGACTAAGTAAAGTACGAAAAAACACAGGAGGATTTTATTTATGAAAAATGTTAAAAAAAAAAACCCAGATAAAAATATTATCAAATAGTAGCACATTAGAAGAATAATACAGCGACTGAGGTTTATCCCAATAACACAAGAATAGTTCAATATAAGCTAATCCATTGATGTACCAATAGGTGAAAAATTTTAAAATCTGCTATCTTCACAGAGGATAAAAAGGAAACGGTGGAATTTAACATTTCATTTTTGATAAAAAAAATCTTGATAAAATAGGACTAAATATATACTTTTTAGACATGACAAAACATGTAGGTCTTAACCATAAAACCTTGTGCTTAATGGGGAGACGCGAAAGGCATTTATGTTAAAGTCAGGAACAAAGCACAGGCATCTTTTACCATCGCTGTCATTCAGCATCATTTTGGAGGGATCGGCCAAGGCAATTAGACACGAGAAAGGAAGGAGGTGTAAAAATTGGAAAGAAAGCAGAAAATTTATAATTATTTGTTAAAAATATGGTTATTTACCCATAAATTCAAAAGGACCTAATGAAAAACTGTTATGAACAGAGAAATCCAGGGACGTGGCTTAATATATGTTATGCACGTATTATTTCAATCAATTAGCTAGAAGTTGTAATGGGAACGAGACCCCGTGTCCAATCGCGACGAAAAGAATGATATGCCATTTCAGTCAGATGCGCCTTCGGACGTCCATGTACAGACATCACGTAATAGCAAACAAGGGTCTGCGACTTACTTGAACTTCGAGGAACCGCGAGATAGTACGTTTCTGGTGCTTAGAATTAAGCCTAGTAGGTGATGGAGATAAAAAGAAAAAGTTTGCTTCCCTCCCCGACACAGCTGACGCCGAATCCTGGCTCCGCGGGCCTCGGCGTGTCCATGGCCGAGAGCCGCCCCTCTCTCTGCTCGTGGGTAACGGGCTGGGTGATGCGATCCCCCAGGCCCTCCACCCAAGGCCCACCCTTCGCAGTAACCCCGTGCCCTGATGGTCTACAGCCTCCCCAGGGGCTCTGGGCTTATCTAGATCTTCTGGTAGATGGTGTGGACTTCTGGGGTGTCCTTGGCGCCGGGCGAGTGGCCGCTGCCCGTCTCCGGGCCTTTCTGCAATTCAAGCAGAGTTCAGGGTGGTCTCGGTCAGTTTACACGCTCTAGGGACGAGCGTCGGTCACGCTGTATCTCGTCACGTGCTTCCTGTCCTCACCCGGGCAGGTCAGGCTGTCCGCTGCGATCGCACCCCCAGCCCAGCCTCAGCTCCGGCCCCTCCTGACCCCCGCAGTCTCTGCCTTCTCCCTCCCTGGCCCCCCGCTCCGAGACCCCCGCTTCGCTCGCCCGCCCGCCCTGCCTCTCACGTCTCTCTTCCTGTGACGTCCCCCCTGGGAGCCTTGGTTCAAACCGCGCCGGACCCCCGAGCCCCTTTCCCGCTTTGTCTTCTCCTTAGTTCTCGTCATCACCTGACGCCCCCTGTTTTGCTTATTCGTCACTGTCCCCTCCCTCAACCTAGGACGCACGGTCTGCGAGGCCAAGGACTGCTGCGGTTTTGGCGACTTCTGTGGCCCAAATCAAATGATTCTGGAACACAGTGGACACTCGACAAATATTTGCTGGACACATCTGCAAACCGCCTCGATGGCCCTAGTTGCAGAAGTGCTTGGAAACACGGACGTTCCGGGTCAATGCCAGGTGTCACCACAGGGGCCGCATCTTACGAGGAGAGGCCGAGGCCCGGGCAGTGCCGTCATCTTCTAGGCTGAACAACGCGCCGGCATCAGCGCTGCGTCTCACACCCGCCCCCTCGGACCACCCCAGGTCTCCTCTGTCCTGTGTCCTGGTGTCCCGGGAGGGGACGCCTTCTCGCTCAGGGGTCTCCTCAAGGGCAGGGGCTTCAGGACGGGGCTGAGTGTCTGGGTCAGATGTCGCCTGACTGGTGTCTCTGCCCTGAAGCCACACGGCGCTCCCCGCTCTGCTTCTCTGGTAGGGGTCCTGTGGTTTGGGTCACAAGTCTCCTGAGGTCCAGGGCCGACGGGGACATAACTTGGAGCCGAGACGCGAAGTCACAGTGTGGCAGGTGCTGAGGCCATGGGGCACAATACGCAGGGCCGCGGACCGGGAGCGAGGACCTTTACGCTCGCCACGGCCCTGGGAAGTCCCAGCGTTCCTCCAGGACCCTGTGGTCCCCACCCGAACCTGCAAGACCACGCCGGGCTTTCTAAGGTCCCGCTGTCCTGTGGCTCGATGACCCAGTGACCCTTCCTGTGAGAAGTCAAAGGGTGGGAGGGGAGAGGACGCCGCCGGCGGCCACTCCTGGGAGACCAGACAGCACTGCTGGCTTCCGCCCGCGGCTCAGAGGCCAATTCCCGGCCCGTCCTGGACCCGCCGAATCAGGACCCCGGAGGGTGGGCCCAGCAGCCTTTACCCTACCAGGCCCTTCAGGGGTTCCTGCGAGCCTGGCTCGAGAACCGAGGCTTCTGGGAAGGCCCGAGTGTCCTCTCGTCCTCCAGCTGTCCTGTCTGCAGGCCCTCCCCTGGCGGAATGTCACCAGCAAGCCATTTCCAGCCATGGGTCACGCCGCACTAACGGCAGGGTCCCAGGCAGCTGGGAGGGAGGGAGAAGATGGGGCTCGCCGATGCCGCTCGGGTCCCTGGGCCCCGGCCCCAGGCCCTGCTGCTGTCCTCTACCTTCGCTCCGTTTCAGGTCTTACAGAAACGGCAGGGCCCACCGGACACCTGGCCACTTACCTCCGCCTCTCCTGCCGCGCCAGCCCCCGCCCCACCCGCGCAGGGATCCCACGAGCCGGTGGGCAGCGGCGGCAGCCACCTCGCCTTCGGAGGTGTCCCCCGTTCGCCTCAGCTGCGGGCGCACTGTGGGCGCCCAGGCAGCCCCGGGGGGGGCAGAGAGACGGGCCCGGGGCGCCCAGACGTCGTGGGGCGCGCGGCGGTGGAGCCGCGCTGCTTCCCTCAGACCCACCTTGGGGCGTCTCGGCCAGGTGATCTCTGCGTAGGGAGGAGGCTCGCGGCCGTTGGCCCCGCCGCCCTGCAGGCCGGCCGTCTCCTCCGGGACAGGGGCCTGGGGGGCAGCTGCGGAGAGCGCGGACTCACCTGTGCACAGCGGAGGCTCAGCAGTGTGGGGTCGGGGCGGCCCCTGCCCCAGCCGCAAGCCCGCCCGGCTCGCCCCAGCCCTGCGGCCCCACCCTCAGCACCCCCGCGCCCGGGCTTTACCGGGGTGCTTCTCAGGCCGACACTGGCCCGTCTTCCCACAGGGCATCCCGACTCCCGCCGCTGCCCCTCCCCCGGCACGCCCGGCCCGGCACCTGCCTCTCCCGGCCTCCATCTTCCTCCTCTTCCTCCAGGTCCACATTCCGGCCCCCAGGCTCACCATCAGAACCACGAGGACGAGGACCCAGCTCCAAACAGGCCATTTGCTCTGGAGAGAACCTGGGACAGAGGCCGGCGTCAGGCATGTCTCCGTTGGGCCTGATGTGGGCACGTGGGACCACGGGGGTCTCTGTAGCCCGGATGGACGGACACCGTGCTGCCCTGACAGATTCCCCGCTTTCTGGCCTCTGCGCACACTGGCCACGGCCACTGGGGTTCCTGTCCCGTCTGTGCAGGAGCCTCGGGGGCCCCTGCCACCTGGGGCGCCCCTGCTCAGCCCCCCAACCGCAGAGCCCAGAAGACAAACACTGCAGGAGGGGGTGGGGGAGAGGCGCCCCGGAGCTCTGCCCTGGCGCCCACCCACTGCCTCGGGGAGACTGCGCCCCACAAGGGCACTCGGGCCAGCCTCTCTCCGGGACGCTTTCCGCACCCCAACTTCTTTCTTGTCGGCGCTCGAACCAGATACTGTCCCCTCAGCTCGGGCCCTCGTATAGCTTCGCGTTCGGGAACTGCCGGCTCCCCCACCTCGATGAGCTGATTCTGACCATTACTGGCACGGTGCGTGTCACACGCGGGTCCGACGACCCAACGTGGATCACGATATTATTCTGAGTCTCACGATAGCCCTCTGAGTGGATAAAATGGTCCCTTTTTCGGAAAGGTTCCCAAAATTAAGTAGCTCGTCCAGGGTCACATAGCTAGGGACTCTCTCCCGGACCCCGGTGCCCGGGTCCCAGCCGGAGTGTGCGGGTCGGATGCCGAGTGGCCCAGCAGGGAAGAGACGAGGAGGAGAGTGTTTGGATGGAGCCCCGAGGAGCAGGCAGAGCTCAGGGGACGCTGGTGGCTCCGTCAGGGGAGTGGGTGTTGCAGGAAACCAGGGCCTGAGGCTGCTTTGCAAGGCTCCCACCCCAGTCTCCCCTGCGGAGTCCCTGCCTGAGGTGGCTCTCTGGCTGCTGGGGAGCTGTGGGTAGCCGCTGTGGTGGCTGCAGTAGTCACAGAGCAGAACGGTGACTATGTTCTCAGAGGCCAGGCAGCGTGCGTCTGGCCTGCAGCAAAACCAAGCCTGCACCCGCTGCCCGAGCTGTGAGCACGGGGCCTCCAGGGAGGGCCCGCGCTTGGGGGCCACCAGCACGCAGGGCTGAGGGCTCTGTAAGCCGCCTTGGATTCCGGTGACTGATGCAGCCTCCAGGCTCCTCGATGCTGGGCAAGGCCTGGGCACCTGCCAGTCCCACGTCTATGGCGCGGGGGAGGCTGCTGAGTCCGTACACTGGTCCAGTTTCTGGACTTGCAGGTTCGAAGACTCTAACGAGCTCGGGGCCATTCGCCGGTGGCGTTTCATCTCCGCTTGCAGCACAGACACGGCCTGAAACCGGCCCTCGGTGCCCCGCCTCCCGAGTCCCCTGCTCTGGGCCAGCCCTGCCCCCTCCCCCGGGCTGCACTCACCCCTCCGCAGACAGACGCTCTCCAGGTGTAAGGTCACGTTCTTCCTGTCCACGGGGTTGCTGACCACGCAGGTGAGGTGGCCATCCAACTGGTCCCAGGGCAGGCTCAGGCTCAGGTGCCTGGAGCTGGTGGCTGACTCCAGCACCCCTCTCTGCTCCGGCTCCTCGGGGAAGTCCTTACTCAGCCAGGTCACCGTCAGGTCCCCTGTGGTCCCCGGGACTGCACACTCCAGGCTGACATTGCACTGGCCCATCGTGCTGGATGACGAGTGAACTTGGATCTGTGGGTGGGGGATGGGCTCTGGGGCAGAAGGGGCGAAAGAGAAACTGAGCCTCAGGAGTGGGGGCTGCACCAACACGCAGCCCACTCTCGCCTGACGTTCCACACACAGGCCTGGGGAAGGGACCTACCCGCCGCGGCCCAAGCGGCTCTGACTCCCAGCCCGGGAACAGGTGCTCGAGGCTGTTATTTGCTAAGTCTAGATGATTAAATAGCCATGATGTATATGACAATTATGTATTAGATATGATAATCACACGTATTTCCACATATATAATAAATGCAACACAGGAGGGGTTAAGAATACAGTGGAAAAAACATATTAAAGTTCTTCTTTTGTTCAGAGAAAAATAATACCAATTGTCTTTAAATGCTGAAGTGAAAACTTAAGTTTGGTAACCGGTAGGTGTCACTACCAAAGTATCATAGAAGAAAATGCGAGCGAATAAAAGGCAAGAAAAATGATAAATAAAAAACAGTAAATGAGATGTCAGCAGCAAGTGTATTGAGTGCATTATTTTCCCCCACGAAAAAGTCAGGACTTGGATCAAGTAAATCCAGCCGTGCGCTCCTTATATCAGCTAAAGCAAAGATCAGAAAGAGATGGAAATGATGTCACGAAGGCGGCTGTGGGTGGCAAGAGTCGCTCCAGACCAAATGAAACCTAAGATACAAATGTGGTTCAAATAGAGCCATTTTAGATTAATGTTCATCTGACACCATTGAGGACAAAATGAAAACCACAGCAGTGCTGCAGGTGCACAGCGGAAGGACCGAGCCCGCGATGGCTGAAGTGGGTTATTCTGCTGTGGCGGCCAGATTCACGAACAGATGAGAACTGAAACAAGTCGAATGGAATGCCTGTTCCCGTGTTCCGAAGCACAGATGGGTGTTTGGAAATCTCCTGTTCTTAGGGGCATTTTAAGTGTTCACCCAGCAACTGGTTTCTGTGTGTTTCTATTACATGCTCTATTCAGCGGGTGCTTGAGTATTAACACGGCAGGAACGATCAGCAGCTCTAGAGAAATGGCGTGTTTCCGTAGGTGTCCTCGGAATCCTGCTTAAGTCTACTGGATAAAGGAACTGCACACACGGGCGTGACGCCAGGACTGCAGGCCACGCCCCGTGCACAGGGGAGCAGACCACACACGGAGCAGACCACACACGGGGGAGCAGAGCACGCACGGGGAGCATACCACACACGGGGAGCAGACCACGCACAGGGGGAGGATCACGCACGGGGAGCAGACCACACACGGGGAGCACCACACACGGGGAGCAGATCACACACGGAGCAGACCACACACGGGGGAGCAGAGCACGCACGGGGAGCAGATCACGTACGGGGAGCAGACCACGCACAGGGAGCAGATCACGCACGGGGAGCAGACCACGCACGGGGAGCAGATCACACACGGAGCAGACCACACACGGGGGAGCAGAGCACGCACGGGGAGCAGATCACGTACGGGGAGCAGACCACGCACAGGGAGCAGATCACGCACGGGGAGCAGACCACGCACGGGGAGCAGATCACACACGGAGCAGACCACACACGGGGGAGCAGAGCACGCACGGGGAGCAGATCACGTACGGGGAGCAGACCACGCACAGGGAGCAGATCACGCACGGGGAGCAGACCACGCACGGGGAGCAGATCACACACGGAGCAGACCACACACGGGGGAGCAGAGCACGCACGGGGAGCAGATCACGTACGGGGAGCAGACCACGCACAGGGAGCAGATCACGCACGGGGAGCAGACCACGCACGGGGAGCAGATCACACACGGAGCAGACCACACACGGGGGAGCAGAGCACGCACGGGGAGCAGATCACGTACGGGGAGCAGACCACGCACAGGGAGCAGATCACGCACGGGGAGCAGACCACGCACGGGGAGCAGATCACACACGGAGCAGACCACACACGGGGGAGCAGAGCACGCACGGGGAGCAGATCACGTACGGGGAGCAGACCACGCACAGGGAGCAGATCACGCACGGGGAGCAGACCACGCACGGGGAGCAGATCACACACGGAGCAGACCACACACGGGGGAGCAGAGCACGCACGGGGAGCAGATCACGTACGGGGAGCAGACCACGCACAGGGAGCAGATCACGCACGGGGAGCAGACCACGCACGGGGAGCAGATCACACACGGAGCAGACCACACACGGGGGAGCAGAGCACGCACGGGGAGCAGATCACGTACGGGGAGCAGACCACGCACAGGGAGCAGATCACGCACGGGGAGCAGACCACGCACGGGGAGCAGATCACACACGGAGCAGACCACACACGGGGGAGCAGAGCACGCACGGGGAGCAGATCACGTACGGGGAGCAGACCACGCACAGGGAGCAGATCACGCACGGGGAGCAGACCACGCACGGGGAGCAGATCACACACGGAGCAGACCACACACGGGGGAGCAGAGCACGCAGCCTAAGGGACAGGGAGACCCTGAGCTAGTGCCATGTCCCTCAGGAAGCTATCGGCCAAGGAGGGGCAGGGGACAGGTCTGGGACCAGGAGCAGGGACGCCTCTGGTGCCCGGTCCGCCCTGCCGTGCTGGGAAACCCCAGCTGGCCGGTCACTGCCCTCCCCCCACTCCTGCTCCCCCAGCCGGCTTTGCCGTGGACGTCGGGGACGTCACCGCCCGCAGAGCCATTGGCCCAGGTCATGGATGGGAAGGGCCAGTGGGCGCGGTGAAGGGCAGCAAGCTGGAGCGGGGCATGTGGGGACGAGTGTTGGAAAACGAGGCTGGAGAGGCGGCTAGGGACCAGGTCCTGGGTGGGCTGGGCTCCTTTTCCCAAGAGCCATTTGTCCTGCAGGAAACGGGACAGGAGAATAACAGGAAGCCACTGCGCTTTAAAAGACCAGCTGCAGGAGGGTGATTTGGAAGTGGGGAGAGACCAGAGACAGAGGCGGCCAGGAGGCCACTGCGACCGGAGAGGAGGGGGACTAGCGGTGACGGTGACGGTGACGGTGACGGTGACGCGGGCGGAGGCACCGGCCCCTGAGGGAGGGCGCTCTGGCAGGGCGGCGCCCTCGGCTGTGCTCCCCTCCCGCCCACGTGGGGGCTTCTCACGGGCTGGGGAGCCCCAGGGGACAGGGCCTGGGTCTCCCGCCTCTTCCGCTTGGGTCTAGCACAGGACTGAGTCCTGGGCCCTCACTAGCGGGGCCCCAGGCCAACGGGTCTGCAAGCGGGTGCCCCGCGGACGCGCCCTAACCGCCCGTCTGCTCCTCACGCCTTTCCTTCGACTTTTGCGACGTCCGGGGTTGTTGCTTTGGCTTTGCCAGCCTTCGGGGGTCACTCGAGAATTTTTAAATCGGTTTTCGAAACAACCAACGAGAGACGTTTCTTACAGAATCGTGTATTTCTCATCATCATTTTCGTAGTATTTTATGATTGAAGAACGTTTTTTTACCCTTTCGGGCTAAGGGGCTCTGGCGCGCCCCGTCCCATTTCACGCGCGTTTCATGCCTTGTGGGAAAGGTGTAAAATTAGATTTCCCTGGGATGTGACCCTTAAAATTTAATAGAATGTTTAGAGCATCAGAAGAGATGCAGAAACACTTAAAAAGAGGTGTTTTTAACCCCGATTTCAGGCTGACGTCCGTTATTCTGGTGGCCGCAGAGGCCGGCTGGGGCACGGCCCACCCCTTACCGTATAAGCAGAGTCTAAAGGCTTCCTCCAGGGATTTTCCTGACTTGAATTTGGTTTTCGCCGTGTATCGCCCGCTCATTTGCACAGTGAGGTTCTCGATGACCAGGAAGGCCTTCTCCGTGAGCTTGAACTTGGCCTTGTACTCTCGGTCGAGGTCGTACCATTCGGGACGAGGGCCGTTCGGCTTCCAGGAGACCAGCAGCTGCTGTGTCCGGTTGTCCGGGTCCCAGGCCCACTCGGTCTCTCGGACGTCCGGCAGCGAGGTCGAGTTCAGCTGCAGCTGGGCCGAGGCCCCCACCGCCCTTGTCAAGGTGCAGGAGGAGCTGGGGTCCCGGGCAGCCTGGGAGCCTGGGGGGGGAAGAGCTAAGAGTCGGGGAGAGAAGCAGAGTCAGCGTGGGGCTGGGGTGTCTGCTGCCCGCCTTCACGGCACGAAGGCGGAATCTCAGATTCGTTACGAGAGGGTTAGCGACGTTTTTGTTTTTTTTTTTTTTGAACGGACAGGGAAGCAAAGCTGCGGACGTCGCTTGCTCAAGTGCTGGCCCAGACGTGGCCGTTCGGAGTCAAGCGCACGTCTGTCACCCTCCCAGGCTCGCACACCTTCCTTCTCTTGCGGTTCGCACCGAACACGGCCTTTGTTCGAATTCCAGAAAAAAGAACCCGCACACATTAGCGTTGGCAGACAGCCAGCCCCCCCTCCACCTGCTCGTGCGCGCCGGGGAAATGCGCGTGGCAGCCTGGCTTCCGGCCCATCGCGCCTCTGAAACTGCCCTCGACGCCACTGACGACGCCCTGGAACGAGCAGGCCCCGCGGTCCCTGGCTAGTCCCACTCTCACGGGACTGTCGCACGGCGTTTCACACGGGACTCTTCTTTCTGCCTTGAAACGCTGTGCATTGGATACGAACTCCGACCCTCCGGGCCTGGGCCGGCCGCGCCCCGCCGCGCCCCACGAGCCAGGC